CAACCAGTCCCTCTCCATCCTGGCGGCCCAGAAGTAGACCCGTGCACGTCACGACACTGGTCAGGTCGCAGGGGGCTGGGGAGGGACCCTGGGCTGTACCCCGTTTCTGTATCCATGCCTCTTCCCTCTGCCTTCCCACCCTCCCTCCCAACCCGCCCAGTCAGTCTTCCACAGCACGCGTGGCCTCTGTTAACTCCTTTCCTGCTCAAGAATGGACAATGGCTCCCCAGTGCCTCGGGGAGCACAGGCCAGCCACTTACAGCTCTCCATTCCCTGTCCCCGCTCCACGGACTCCAACCCATTTCTGGCTGAGCCACCCGCCACCCCACAGATGACGACGGTTCTGACCTCTGCGCTGAGTTCTCACCGCTGACTCAAAGGCCTGCCCGCGCTGTCCAAAGCGCTGTCCTCAGCAAACCCCGGCTCCTCTGCGAGTTTCATAATGAAAACAGCGGTGCGTGCAGAGAGCACAGTTAGAGGCTCTCTTGTTTCCAGGACGCCAAGTGCCTTACACAGTTTTACTCTAATGTTAGCAAGAACACAAAGAACAGTGGGGCTACAAGGAAATAGAGGAAAATGCATCAAAATACTGACGGTGAGGTGGTGGTTACTGTGAACTTTCTTCCTTTGTCCCCCTTTTTCATGTTTGGTACTTTTCTAGGTTTTCAGCAATAGGAAGGTTTGGTTTTGTTGTTTGTTTTTAACCAGAAAAGCAACAGTACATGTTATTCGGGGGAAAGTTTGAGCCTCCATCACCAAGCAGGTGACGTGGGCCGAGGTGGGGGTTGGGCCCCCAGCAGAGGAGGCTCCCGAGAACAGGCAAGCGTCAGGGCCCTCCATGGAGGGGAGGTACCCGCCCAGATGGGGGTTTACCCTGCGGGGAAGCGCAAGGGCACTGGCCCCGCTGGGGAAACCCTTCTCGGTCGCAAAGGGCAACATTGGAGGCAGCGCCACCTCCACCATCACTCCTGCATCAGCCTTCCCGCACGAGGGCAGTGGGCCTTGAGCCAGCCCCCAGACCACGGTGCCAGCATTCTGGGCAGACTCGCGAGAAATGCATGTCCTCAGCCCCCCATCCTGTCAGAGCCCCCAAGGGGGTGTGGTGTGCTGGCATTGGTGAGGTCGGAGCAGGGGCTGCTGGGAGTTCTGACATGTGCTCATGTGTGGGAAGCAGGCCCCCATCCCCGTGCTGTTGGGAATGGATACATGACTCCTGGGCGGGGCAAGTCCTGAGCTGAGTACAAGGTCAGGCCGGTGCCCTTGAAGCTGCTCCTAGAGTGGCGATTCCAGAAGGAGCCTCGGGTGAGTCACGTCCCTGCTGCTGCCAGGCTCCATCTCTCCGATGCTGGGCTCTTCTATCTATAAAAGACAGACTCCTCCCTCGGGGAAACTGAGAGAGCTGAATAAGAGCCTGGCACATAGTAGGTAGCCAGGAAGGAGGCTATTGTTAATGACAATAAGTGATAAATACTCAGAAACTTCCAGAAGAAATTATACCAACAACAATATCAACTATCATTTTAGGTGCTTCTTTATGACATGCCAGGCACTGTGCCAAGCAGTGTGCCTTATAAGAATTCAGCGAGGTGCTACTGAATCCATCAGAGAGGAGGAGAAATACGGGACAGTGGTTATGTACGAGGACTTGTGAATGAACGCCTGCATTCAAATGCCCAACCCTGCCATTCGCTAGCTGGGTGACTTGGGGCAAATAACTTTGCTTCTCTGTACCGCAATTTTCTCATTTGCAAAATGGGAACTAATAATAATATCTCCCTGTAGGACTGTTGGTATTAAATGACTTATTATATAGTGTTCCTAGAAGAGTGACTGACACACGGTGAGTGCTATATAAGATACTATGCAGAACGAAGGCTCTAGGAGGTCACTGGCCACTAGGCAAGTGTAGCCATCCATACAGCAAGCGAGGAGCTGGGAATTAAGCCCCGAGCTCGCTGATTCCAGCGCCTGGCCTCTCAGCTGAAGGGCTCAGGGATGCAGCCCCCGCCGCCCCTGTGCCCAGGTCTGGAACAGTGTGCAGCCCTGCAACCCAGCAGGCCCTCCTGCGGGTCAGGGATCTGAGAGGTCAGCATCCGGAATCTGCACCAGCACCTGCCACTTCCAGGCAGGGGACCCTGACCCAGCTCCACGGTCTGGTCTTATCCGCGGACACCCTCCCCAGCGGAGGCAGCACCCCATCCCCCAGGCGCTTCCTCCGGGCTCGGGGCAGTCTCAAGCTCCTCCCGCTCTTTCACTGAGGTCCCAGTTGTGCTGCTGTATTAGCTTTCTGCACGATGTTGCCATCGGGGAAATTAGGTAAAGGGTGCATAGCATCTCTTGGTGTGATTTCTTACAGCCCCATGTGAACCTGCAATTACCTCCAAAATGTAAGTTTAATTTTAACAAATGAACAAGAAAAAGAAGCCCCCACACGAGTCTCACATGTGGGGGCTCCTTTGTAAGTGGGTTCCATGCACCTACACCTGGGGCTACAATACACAGCAACTCAGCGTATCCAGGCAGCCCCTGCAGGGGAAAGGCCGCACCCTCTAGAAAATGTAGTGCCTGGAGGGCCAGGCCCCACTGCCCCTGCACTATTAACGGTGACCTTCATTCCCTAGGGACAAATGCCCCCGTCCTGTCAATAGCGACTGGCCCACTGCTATCAAATCCACACCTGCTTGCTGCCCGCAGAACTTTGTGAGCAGGACTAGCGTGAAATAACGGCATTTAAGCGGGAGGGAGTGACACACTGAGGAGAATGTTTTGGGGAATAAACGGTGCCTGGGAGCAGAGAGCGCTCATTGGTTCTGAATAGATCACCCTGCTAATGAGGATCTCGTGCTTGCACTGTTTTTGCATTTCCTCTGGTGGGCCAGTGGCTCACGCCTGGAGAGGTGTGCCTGGCTCGCACCCCCATGTCCCTCCCCTGGAACTCAGGCACCTGCTGGAGGTCAGAGGCAAGGGGATGGGGAGGGGCAGAGAGGATGGAGTCACTGCCTGTCTTCAGGGAGCATTCCATCTTCTTGCCTCTCTCCCTTCCACCCCTCCCGACCATTATTAAGGTCTTCCTTCCTCACAGTGAAGGACCTACTCCATGCAAGTTTATATTCATAAAATCTTCATTCTTGTGACTTATTGAAAGGATGACCTCCTCTCCCCAAATCCACTTTCTAATCTGGTGCGTGAACCCTCCCTACAACATTCCTCTGCAGTGACAACCTGTATTAACATCCCTTTAGGTCCGTGGTCTGCAAACTGCGGCTCGCGAGCCACATGCGGCTTTTTGGCCCCTTGAGTGTGGCTCTTCCACAAAGTACCATGTGTGTGCACACACGTACAGTGCAATTGAAACTGCGTGGCCCGTGCGCAGAAGTCGGTTTTCGGCCTAGGACGAGCCTATTTTGAAGAAGTACTGTTGGTATTTGGCTCTGTTGACTAATGAGTTTGCCGACCACTGCTTTAGATGAATGACTCCCTGTGCCAGGAGGTAGCCACTTCCATTTGGGGATGTGTTTAGCGAATCGCTCCCTGTACAAGCATCGGTCATCTCTAATAGTAACGAGAGTTAACATTTTCTCGGCCCCTGTAGGCCAGAATCTGGGCTACGCTTTTACTCACGCAGCACGATATCCTTTGGGTTGCTATTACTATCTCCCCCTTACAGATGAGGCAAGAGGCACAGGAGGGATTTAACTTTTTTTTTGCAGCAGCAGCAGGTTAGAAGTTAGTAAATAGCAGGATCCATACCTGGATAGCGTAGCTGCAGACGCTACTCTCTAACCACTGTGCTTCCCACCCCTTGCCTCTGCCCCACGTCAAACATGGAAGATGCCAAGCAGGGCGAGGTTGGGGCTGAGAGCCTGTTGCGTGCCGTCATGTACCTTCCCACAGGGCCCAGGCTCCCGGAGGCTCCCTCTGAAGAGTCAGCAGATGTGGGTGAAGCCCAAACACACGTGTCCGCAAAAGCCCTGCAAAGGTTCTGACTGGGCACGGCCAAGGCAGACGGGACATGCGCCAGCTCCACGTGCCTGACTCCATAATCACTCAGCCCACAGCCACGGACCCCTGCAGAAACTCAGGCATACCATGGCCAGGCAGTCCCTGAAATGGTCCCTATTAAAAAGCAGAAGAGAACAGAGGCTGGTCTGACAGGACTTTTCTCACCCGCCGCCCACCCCCCACTCTCAGGTCTCCCTGCTTTCTTTTCCAAGTGCTCCCAAACCACTGGTTTAACAGTCTGCTCTAGAATTTGTCCAGGAGTTGACAGCAAGCTCATTTATATACAGTTTTGGGGTGTTCTCTCACTATCATTAATAAAAATCGGGCCAAGTGACACCTTCTTGGTCTCTAATTTTTCTATGACTCTGTTGACCACACAAGTCATATTTCTGAAAACATCTGTATCCATGTGTCATTAGCCACCATTTTGTAGGCCCTCGGCTGTTTCTTTCCAACCCCTGGGATTGAAATTCCCTGAAGCCAGAAGCTCATCCATCGAGAGCAGCCAGAGTTCCCTGAGGAGCTCCCGACCCCCTCGGGCCTCTAAGCCACGCTGGGCCATGGTGCCCAGTTCTCAGATCCCACCGCTGCAGGATCCCATACAGAAACCCCTCAGAAGCGGGATTTGGTTGTCCTGCCATCAGACCATTTGCCCCATGCTGACACAGCCATCGGTTACTATCATTCCCAGAACGTGTTTTAGATGCTTTTTTCTTATTCTTGCATTTTTGGGAAGGTAAGTTTCAGCTGAATATGACCTTATGCTTATGACCCTAAACTATATGCTTGTATTTCCTTCGGACAGGGGACCTGCAGAGAGGAAAGCTCAGAAAAGCAAGAGCTGGAGTCCGGCTTGTCGATGACCTGGGCCAGTTTATTTCATGTCTCCGAGTCTCAGATTCCTCAGCTGGAAAATGGCTGTAACATCGCTTGTTTCATGGGGCACTTGAGATGAGTCGATGCTATAGGCATGTGAACCACGCAGCTCAGTGTCTGGTACTTAAAGATGCTCCACAAATGTTCATTCTTTCTGAGCAAACGTGTCTCCTTCCTCGGATCATCCCGATTCTTCCCTGTTTGAGCTCAGACAACTTCCTGCCACCCCTTCGTCTCTCTAGCAACTTCCCCCTTCTCTTTCTTGTGAGCCTCACTGACCATCTGGCCTCTGTCCCTCTCAATCCATTTTTAGCTGGATTCCCTCTCAGAAAATTCCTGACGCAGACAGACTGTTAGACTTCAATTTGAACTTTCTTGAATCTACTTGTATAAACAGTTGTTGAGGGAAAGCAGTAGCTGTCACAGGGGCCACATTCCCACCTGGCTGAGCCAGCGAAGGGTCAAAGGTCTAGTTTCCTTCAGAGTGCCCATCCCAGGAGAACCACCGTCAGGGACAATAGGTCTGGCCGGAATGACCCTCCCAGCGTGAGGCAGGCAGGTCCCTCGGCCCAGAAGTCAGGCTTGATTGGAAATTAAGTTGCATGCCAACGCCGACTGCAGGATGCCTCTATCCACAGCTAATTCATCAAGGTGATGCCTCATCTCAGGAAGCCCGTGGAATAGAGTGGCTGTGTCAGCAAAATTATGAGCTTGTAGCTGATGAGAACTTTCTTTTTATTCTTAATCCTCACCCGAGGATATTGTTCCATTAGTTTTTAGAGAGTGGAGGAGAGAGGGAAAGACAGAGAGAAACATCGATGTGAGAGAAACACATCGATTGGTTGCCGCTTGGAAGAGCCCTGACCAGGTCCCAGCCTGGGGAGGAGCCTGCAAGTGAGGTACGTGCCCTTGATCAGAATTGAACCCGGGACCCTTCGGTCTGCAGGCTGATGCTCTATCCACTGAGCCAAACTGGCTAGGGCTGATGAGAACTTTCTTTAAAGCTCCTCTTGAACCCTTTATGTTTCTTATTTTGGGTTTTGTGCGCTTACTGGTTGCCTTCTCTATGCCAGGCCCTGGAGACATGGACACTGGCTGCTCCCAGGCCAGTGGCAGAGAGAGAATAAG